CCTACACATCTAGGGAGGATGCCAATGTCGTAAGTTCTCGGTATACTTACGAGGACTATGCTGTCCACTTGGTCCCACCGTTGGACCAACCGCTCCACGTGCAACAATCTACCGCATGCACGGTTTCATCACCATCGGCAACCGATTCGGCAGCTTCGCCGCAATCTATCGCCAGGGATTCGACGTCATGGTCAAGACTTGAAGAGCTCGTCCCGTTGACGTTCGCGGACTTCCAATGGATGCCCGTTCCCTCGACCGGTCGATTGCCGAAACCACATTGCAACGTGCTCATGGCACAATTGCGGGATTACTTGCACACTGCAGTACCGACTCCGTTGATGGACGCCGGAGTAGAGGTTGTCGACCTTCACGCCTACATTGCGAAGATCGACCACGAGTTCAAGATGCAACGGTACGACGACATCGACGCACCATTGCTATATGTACGCATTCAGATCGGAGAAGCGACCTACAGCGCTTTGATCGATTGCGGAGCATCTCGCAACTACATCAACCAGGACTTCATGGTGCGCGCCGGCCTTGGCCCACGCGTCCGAAGGAAGCCCCAGCCTACGCAAGTCACGTTGGCGGACGGTCACACGCACAAGTCAATCGACCCGTGCATTGATGACGTCCCAGTGTACTTTGCAACTCACGCAAGTGAGGCGGTGTCCTTTGACATTCTGGACACCAAATTCGACATGATCTTGGGCATGTCATGGCTGCGAAGCGAGGATCACCCGTTGAACTTCTACCACTGCACCGTTCACATTCGTGATCGGAACGGAGTACTAGTCCCATGCACGGTGCCTCTTCCTCATCCTTCGATCAGCTGCCACGTGGTATCCGCCGCAAGCATGCGAGCTTCCATCATGAGAGACGACATCGAGGAGATGGGGGTGTGTTTTCTCCACGGGTTCTCGCCCCATGACGCTTCATCGACGGACTCTTCTTCGGATCCACGCATCACCGAGCTTCTCGACGCCTACGGCGACGTGTTCGAAGGCCCGCACGGAGTAGTACCGGATCGACCCATCCGCCACGAGATCATCCTCGAGGACGGGGCCGTACCTCCACACGGTTGCATCTACCGAATGAGCGAGGAAGAGTTAAGTGTGCTACGGGCACAACTCGACGACCTTCTAAAGAAAGGCTGGATATGGCCTAGCTCATCGCCATACAGTGCTCCTGTTCTCTTCGTCCGGAAGAAGAACAAGGACCACGTTTAAGACGCGATATGGGCATTTCGAATGGCTGGTTATGCCATTTGGCCTTACGAATGCCCCGACCACTTTCCAAACGGCTATGACAACGGAGTTCCGACACATGCTGGATCGATATGTCTATCTACCTCGACGACATCCTGGTGTACAGCCGGAGTTTGGACGAGCATGTGGAACACCTGCGCACCGTTTTGGAGCGGCTACGACAAGCCAAGTACGAAGCCAACCGCGACAGTGCGAATTCGCGCGGCAGGAGCTGGGGTACTTGGGACATTATGTGATGCCGCAAGGCATCCATCGGCTTGCGGACAAGATCGAGGCCCTACGAGTATGGCCCGAGCCCACCAACACCACGGATGTTCGTTCATTTATGGGATTTGCGGGCTACTATCAGCGATTCATCACCGGATACTCGAGGATTGCGGCACCTATGACGAGATTACAATCGTCAAAGGTGCCATTTGTATTCGATGACGACGCACGCCGGTCATTCCAAGCACTCAAGACGGCCATGCTCATGGCACCCGTCCTTAGCATCTATGACCCCACCCTGCCGACGAGAGTGACTACGGACGCTTCCGGCTATGGCATTGGGGCAGTCTTGGAACAACACGACGACGGCGACTGGCACCCTGTGGAGTATTTCAGCCACAAAATGCCTCCCATCAACTCGCTTGATGATGCAAGGAAGAAGGAGCTGCTCGCATTCGTCATGGCTCTCAAGTGATGGCGGCACTTCCTCCTTGGGCGTCGTAGGTTCACATGGGTTACGGACAACAACCCACTGACTTCCTACGAGACGCAGGATACGGTGAGCAGCATGATCGGACGATGGATGTACTTCATCGACCAATTTGACTTCACACCGAAACATCTTCCCGGCCTCTCCAATCGCGCAGCAGATGCACTCTCGCGAAGACCTGATCTTTGCGTTATGACACATCATGCCTTCACATTCGACGAGGAGCTTCAGCGACACTTCATCAGGGGCTATGAGTCCGATCCAGAGTTCGCCACGCTATATGCGCAGCTATCTTCGGATCACCCACCAGCCAGCCACTATCGCATCGCCGATGGGTACTTGCTCCTGCACTCGTGGGGCAAGGACTTACTATGTGTCCCACGCGACCGCCGTGTTCGGACTCGCCTCCTCGACGAGTATCATGATTCGCGACTCGCCAGCCATTTCGGAGTCAACCGCACTATTGCACGGCTTCGACAACGATTTCGATAGCCCGACCTCATCACCGACGTCACGAGGTATTGCGTCTCGTGCGAAGTTTGCCGACGAAGCAAACCCCGCAACCGCAACCCCTACGGCGAGCTGTGCCCGATGCCGATCCCGCAGGAACCCGGTCTCTCCATTGCCATGGATGTCACCGGACCATTCCCCCGCGACCGCCTCGAACACGACGGCATCCTCACGGTCGTGGACCGATTGAGTAAGTACGTGCGTTTTCTCCCTTGCAAGTACTACTCCACGGCTCCCGAGCTGGCACGCCTCCTGCACACCGGCTGGATTTGCGGCCATGGTGTACCGGAAGATATAGTCAGCAACCGCGACACTCGCTTCATGTCGGCATTTTGGACTGCACTCATGCAGGAGTCCGGCACGAAGATGAAGCCAAGTTCGGCTCGGCATCCACAGACAGACGGGCAGACGGAACGGGCACATCAGACCGCTCAAAAGATGCTTCGTACGCTCATCCGTCCGGACCAGAAAGATTGTGTTGACCCCCGACATCGAGTTCGCCTACAACACTTCGGTGCACCCGGCGATCGGCGTGACTCCATTCGAGTTGCACCACAATGGACGGAAAGGCCGGATCTTCGCCGACCTTCTCCTCCCACGACCAGCCGACATCGATGCCACTTGCTCTCCCGCTTCCGTCCGGAAGTACAGGGAATTGCTGTCTCAAGCCCGCGCGAATATGCAAAAGGCTCAAATCCGCATGCAGCAGCAAGCCAACAGGCATCGCGTGCCATGTCCCATCCGCGCCGGCGACCTGGTTTGGGTTTTCGCGGAAGAGTTTGCACTGGAACAGGATGTCTCACGCAAACTGCTTCCCAAGTGGTTTGGACCATGGCCCGTAACATTAGCCGCGGGCGATGAGCCCGATGGCCCTTCATTTGTGATCAACATCCCCCCGCATCTGACGGTCCATCCAGTCTTTCACGCCTCAAAGTTGGCAACATACACGCCAGCTAAGAGCGACGACTTTCCGGGCTGACGATCGCAGGACCCTCCTTCTATGGATGGTCATCAGGAAGTTGACCGCGTCGTCATCACCGATCGCAAGTACGGCATCAAGCTGCGACACTACAAAGTTACATTCAAAGCCTGCGATCGCGACGACACTCGGTGGATTTCAGGAGCAGATTTGAAAGCATCCGCACCGGTGATCTACGCGCATTATGAGAAGCAAAGGTTAGCTCAGGAAGCTTCACGACCGGCCCCTCCCACCCGGACTGTGGTCCCTCCCTCAGACAGACAGCTTCGCCCTCGCAGGTAAGCTCGGTCTTTCAAGGAGGGGGGTGTGTGGCATACTGCGTAGCCACATGAGCCCTACAGGGCCCGTCCCGGATTCTCAGCCTGAAAGCCTAGAAATAAGGGCTTACAGGCCCCGGTCGTTTCAGCCTGAAACTGAAAACGAGGGCCTGCAGGCCCTATTTCGTTTTCAGCCTATTTCAGGGCCTTTCAGGCCCAGAGGCTTTTCAGCCTGAAACGGAGGGCCATKYTCAGGCCCTCATAAGATCGACCTACCCTAAGACTCAGGCACAAAACTAGGGTTTTGGGAACAGGCTATTTTTGGCCTGTTCCCCACGCCAGCTTGCAGCAGGAGCTGCAGCGGCAGCCCCTGGCTGGCCCTGGCATTGGCAA